TCTCAGGGACAGACTGTGACTGTGCTCTGGAAGAGCTGGCCTGAGCCATTCAAGGTTTTTTTGCACCTTCTACAGAGCTGTGCGGTTATCGCCAGTTATTGCAGTTACTGTGAGCATTTGGTCTGCTCGAGAGATCCCGGTGGTGAGAATGTTCTTAGGAATTGTACAGTAAACTAACTTTATTCTGACTCCAAGCATCCTGTTCCATTGACACTTGCTTTCCAAGATGGTTTGCTAGCTCACATCAGCATACAGCCTGCTTGACAGAATGCGCTGATGTTCTCACTGTAAATTCATCACCTGCTGCTGCGGTCTCATGTATCCCGTGTGCTGTTAGCTGGGGCCAGTGCTCCTGTGTCTCCTCAGCACCAGGGCCTTGGCAAGAGTGCATGTCTGCGCCTATAAAGATGATGGCCAGGTTCTGGGCAGGGTTGAATTCACCAAGGCAACTGCCATCCATCCCTCGATAGACATTTTTTCTCCTTCTACACACTCTCAGGCGTCTGCATATGCCACGTGTACCTGGCACCCTTGCTTATGAAAGTTACCAAATTCCTGCCGTGACACTGTGGGTCACCCTGCTTCATTCTTGGGTATGGTGTCTGGTGGTTCCTGTCTGGCTGCCCTGTGTTGTTGGGCCTTCCCTCAGGTTATTGGTTTTTGTTTTGAGGTGTAATTCACATTTCATACAATTCGCCCATTTAAGGTGTACAGTTGCCCTCTCAAGTTTATTGCGGACAAAGGCTGTGTCTGACACTGCTCAGGAAGCTAGGACACAAAGCAGCCAGTGTCTGCTAGGGCAGCAGGGAGGCTGCTGATGCCTCTGCAGCCATTGGGTGCTCCAGCCTTGATGCTGTTTTCAGCTTTGGATCGTAACTGGGTCCCAGGTGGTTCCTCTTCATCTCATCTTGTTGGTGGCAGTGTTGCTTCCAGCATTGGGCTGGGCTGAGTCACACACCAGAGTACCTCCTCCTGCTGTTTTCTCTGGGCTTTGTTGATTGTGTGTTTTGTGACCTTTGGCATATTGTACCTGCTCCAGGTGTACACCCGGCTGGTTCTGGTTGATGTGTAATGGACAAAAGGTGCCCCTATTTAAAAAAAAAAAAAATTCAGGACAGACTGCTCAGTCCTCTTGCTGAAGTACCCCATTGCACTCTTCTGCAACATTCTTTCTATTAAAAAATTAAAAAAAAAAAAAAAAAAACTTTCTTTTTTCCCCCCACCTTGTAATCCCAGCTACTCAGGAGGCTGAGGTGGGAGGATCACTTGAGCCTAGGAGGCAAGGCTTTAGTGACCCATGGTCCTGCCACTGCATCCCAGCTTGGATGACAGAGGAAGACCCTATCTCAAAAACAATTACATAGGCCAGGCATGGTGGCTCACGACTGTAATCCCAGCACTTTGGGAGGCCGAGGCGGGCAGATCACCTGAGGTCAGGAGTTAAACACCAGCCTGGCCAACATGGTGAAACCCTGTCTCTACTAAAAATATAAAAATCAGATGGGTATGGTGGCACACGCCTGTAATCCCAGCTATTCAGGAGGCTATGGCAGGAGAATTGCTTGAACCCAGAAGGTGAAGGTTGCAGTGAGCCGAAATCACACCATTGCACTCCAGCCTGGGCAACAAGAGTGAAACTCTGTCTCAAAAAAAAAAAAAAAAATTGTACATCATAAAATCACTCATTTTAAGTATATCATCCAAGGATGTTTAGCACCTTCTACAAAGCTGTGCAGCTATTGCCACAATCCAATTTTAGAACATTTTCATTATCCCCTAAAGATCCCTGTACCCGTTACTCCCCTTTCCCACCCCCGGTACCTGGCAACCACTCATCTACTTCCTGTGTCTATTGATTTGCCTTTTATGGACATACTGTACACTTTCATTCATATGAAGTATCTAGATAAGGTACTTTCTAACGGGTGACTTTTCATGGTTAGCTTTCTTCAAATGATAGGGAATTCCTGCTTCAGAATGCTTTTTCTGCTGTGCTACTTGCGTATGATTTGTTGGTGTCTGTGGGATTTCCTTGGAGGCATATGTGTGTGTGTGTTTTGCACAGTACCAACCTTTTTTATCTGTTGATTAGTGTTCTGTGGAACATCTGGTTTCATGCCCATCACTGTGACATATTTTGGGAGACACAACAGAAGATATGTCCCCAGTGGGTGAAATAAACCTAACAAACATGAAAACAACTAGCGAGGAGTAAATGACATCTAAGCAAGCATTCGGCTCTGGGATGCTCTTGTTTGAGACATGTTTATCAAGCAGCCTGTGCCAGGCTCTGCACAGGTTGGAATGCCCTTGTGCTGAGCAGGCAGCGGCGGGTGGAGCCCAGGGTCAGGGCGGGTGACACCGTGATACAGGGGCAGACTCAGAGCCACGCAGCCAGGCCATTCACTCTTTTCAGGTTGCTTCCCATCCTTCCGGTGGAAAGGCTTATTTTGGTGCAGGTGATGCTTCTAGCAATTGTTTCTCTCTCTCTCTTAAAATAGAGTACTGACCTTTTGCAAGAAATGTTTCTGGCTTTTGTTTCCCTTTTACTAAAGTAGGGCCAGATTTGAGGGCGCCTTGAAACCCAGACCCATTTTGGTGTGCCCAGACAGGAGCTATAACAAGCCCTGGTGCAGGGCTAGGACCTGTGTTATCTTTGGAGCCACGGGCTGGGCTGCAGCCACTAGAGTTAAGAAGCTTCTTTCTTCTGACCTGTGTCAGAGCTAAAAAAGAGAACAAAAATTAAAAAAGAAAAAAAAAGGAGCTTCTTTCTGAGGCTCTTTCAGCAACTTCAGTGTCCCGTGGCCTGCCTGGGCAGAGAGTGGACAGGAAAGGTTAGGAAAAGTATGCACGTGAGGACTTTCAAGGGCGCTGACAGCACCCCTCCTTCCCAGCCTCACTTCTCCGGCTCTAACCTTTCAGCACTAAGCTCCCCTTGGCCCTGTGGGATGAGGCAGCATCCAGAAGAGTCCTAGAGTCTGTTTTTGTTTCTGTTTGGTTTTTTTTGCCTTTAAAAGTCATGTTTCTGTTGAGCACGGTGGCTCATGCCCATAATCCCAGTATTTTGAGATGCCAAGGCGAGCAGATTGCCTGAGCTCAGAAGTTGAAGACCAGCCTGGGCAACATGGTGAAACCCCGTCTGTACTAAAAGTACAAAAAAAATTAGCCCAGCATGGTGGCGTACGCCTGTAGTCCCAGTTACTCGGCAGGCTGAGGCACAAGAATCATTTGAACCCAGGAGGCAGAAGTTGCAGTGAGCTAAGATTGAGCCATTCTAGCCTGGGCGATGGAGTGAGACTCTGTCTCCAAAATAAATAAATAAAGTCATGTTTCTACACTGGATGTGCACGTCTTCAATAATGTGAACAGAGGACAAAACACACAACTGAAATACAGTTCAGTGGGTGGGTTGGTGTCTTTGTTGTTGGGTGATGTGTTTCTTTCCTGTACAAGGAAGGAAGCACTGAGTAGGTCTGTTGGTGACCTGGGTTTGGGAAACAGCTCAGAGGAACTGCTGGAACTCAAGGCTCTGATTCTCCTGTACAAGGGGATCTTTGTATAGGTCTGTGTGGGTCCTTCATTGCCAGTATTGCCCTGCCAAGCTAACGGGCTTGTGATTTTTGTTGCAGACTTTTGCCTGGCTTCGAAGGTGGTGGGCAGATGCCGGGCCTCCATGCCTAGGTGGTGGTACAATGTCACTGATGGATCCTGTCAGCTCTTTGTGTATGGGGGCTGTGATGGAAACAGCAATAATCACCTGAGCAAGGAGGAGTGTCTCAAGAAATGTGCTGCTGTCACAGGTAAGACCGTGGTAGTTGGAGCTTTTGCTTTTTTTTTTTTTTAGACAGGGTCTCACTGCAGCCTCCACCTCCTGGGCTCAAGCAGATCCCCCCACATGAGCCTCCTGAGTAACTAGGACTATAGGCACATGCCATCACACCTTGCTCATTGTGAAATTTTATGTAGAGATAGGATTTCCCTGTGTTACCCAGGCTGGTCTTGAACTCCTGGCCTTGCGTGATCCTCCCACTTGGGCCTTCCAAAGTGCTGGGTGGGATTACAGGTGTGAGCCACTATGCCCAGCCAGGTTTTGCTATTTAGAGACAATTTATTGACTGGAATGTGGATACTTCTGCTCTTTATTAGTTCTTGACAGTGCAATCTGGGTGGTGTTTTAAAAAGCAGAAGAAACAGGCACTGTGTGAATGTCCTGGTGGCCGCACAGTGGTTTCACAGCAGACCCTCCCTCCTCCTCTTCCCAGAGAGGCAGTGAGACGACAGGCCGGAGCTGGGACCAGCATGAACCAGCTTCCTTTCTCCCACCTCTCACTGCAAGTCTCAGAGCAGAGCGAGGGGGAAGTAGCCTTGCCTTCTTGAGCAGAGGCTTTTCGATCCACTCCAACAGGGCTGCCCCTCTTATTCCCTGAGTATTAGGGTTATGTTATTTTGTTTTGAGATGGAGTTTTGCTCTGTCATCCAGGCTGGAGTACAGTGGAGTGATCTCGGCTCACTGCAACCTCCGCCTCCTGGGTTCAAGTAATTCTTGTGCCTCATTCTCTCGAGTAGCTGGGACTGACTACAGGCACGCGTTCTCACACTTGGCTAATTTTTGTATGTTTTGCAGAGATGGGGTTTCACTATGTTACCTAAGGTGGTCTAAAACTCCTGAGCTCAAGCAATCCGCTTGCCTTCCAAAGTGCTGGGATTACAGGCATGAGCCATCGCACCCAGCTAAACATTTTCACTTTAACTGGGGGAAAAAAAAAATTACATTGGTCTTTAATTAAAACATAAATAAAAATATTTCTAACTTTTTTTTGATGACTTGATGTTGTTGCTGTGAGCCACCGTACCTGACCCAGTTACTGTATTTTTCTATCATCTGCTGTGATTCGGTATGAAGGAGGACTAGGTAGAAATATTTTTTGCTACCTTTTCTGAGCTGTCCCAGTCAAGAGTTGACTTTAGCAAATGTATGTGTCCATCCTGGCTATTCCTTATCTCCTCAGGAAGGGAGTTGAAGTATTGAGAACTCAGGCTGTGGGCAGTGAGCATCAGCCAGGGGACGTGTGTGGCTGTGTGTTGCTGAGAGCAGGCAGGTTAGCTGTCTCCCTAGAGTCGGGCCCCACCTTGTGGGTCCGGAAAGCATATATTGGCATCTGACTGGATGTGATGTATGTCTCTCGAGGCGCCCCCACGTGAGTCTGTAAAGAGCTAAAAACTGTGAGAGCTACTAGTTCCTGGTGTCCTTTGCCGGCATATTCTCTCCCAGGTAGGCAAGTTCTGTGGGAGGGCAAATGAGAATGAGAATCGGTGCTACCCAGGGAGCAGGCACTCGTGTCCCTGGGCCTGTGCCTTTAGTCCACGTAGGCAACTCTCTAGTCCAATGGCCAGAAGACCGCTCGATGAAAAGAGAGGCAGAATGAGGGGAGCTGGTTTGCCAGGTGACCGTTTAACAGCATCAGGCTAGGCCAGTCCTGAGGACGCAGGGGAGCCAGGCTTCCCTCCGTCTTGGACAAGGTGTAGGAGATAAAATAAATGCCACGTAAAATTTATTATGTTAACCTTTAAAATTTTTTTTTTCTTTAAAGAGATGAGGTCTTTTTATGTTGCCCAAGCTGTTCTCAAACTCCTAGCCTCAAGTGAGGCCCCCAATGACCCTTCAGCCTTCCAAAGCACTAGGATTACAGTTGAATTCGTTAGATGAGTTGATACAGTTAAGCAGATTATTTGACTCTGGAAGTCACTGGGTTTTTTCTGTTTGTTTTGTTTTTTGTTTTTGAGGCAGAGTTTCACTCTTGTCACCCAGGCTGGAGTGCAGTGATGCCATCCATCTCGGCTCACCACAACCTCTGCCTCCCGGGTTCAAGAGATTCTCCTGCCTCAGCCTCCCAAAGTGCTGGGATTGCAGGTGTGAGCCACTGTACCTGGCCAAGTCACTGTCTCTTTAAAATCACTTTGAACATCTTTGCTTTGCAAGTTCATCTTAAAGTTTTCTGTTCAGGAGGTAATCTTAGTTCCTTATTTCCAAATTGTGATGGACTTGTTGTGGTCTGGCATGCGTGTTGAAGGTCCCATGTAAAGGAGAAATGGATGCTGTGGTGAGAGGCGCACAGGGCCATTCTTTGTCGCCAGCAGTCTTGGAGGTGCTTTCTCACTGTGCTGTTTATTTGTCCCCTTGCAGAGAATGCCACGGGTGACCTGGCCACCAGCAGGAATGCAGCAGATTCCTCTGTCCCAAGTGGTAGGTTCTTAAAGAGACCGAGATGGAGTGAGGCCACCGTGGGTCATTGTGAAAGGACACTTGCAATTTGGGAACTGTCACAGGCTTCCCTCTTGTGGTTCTGTTGACTCAAAATTGGCAAACCAGGGGCTCTGCCTGGCTGCCGGCTTCTGGCTCCAGTATCCCTACCTGGGGGAGTTTACACTGTCCAGCTGACAGAGGGGCCGGGGATCCTGCAGCACTTCCTGGCTGGCCCCTACCTCCTCCTGGAAGACAGGGGCTGGAGGTGGCTGCTGCTTGTGAGGCTTAGGCCCCTCCTTGCTGTGCAGTTCAGCTGCTGTGCTGGCTCCACTCCCCGCCTGTCCGCCTGTCTGCCCGTTCTGCCTCCTCTACTTCCTTTGCTCCCTGTTGCCGTCGCTGTCCCCTTCCCTGTGAGCGACCTCTGTCCTCTGCCACCCCCGCCTCCCCGCCACTGCAGTGCGTGATCTCAAGACATGTGTTAGCTTGCTTTGTAGTGCTGGCGGCTGCTGCGCCATTCCTCCTTTATGGTTTAAGGACTGCATCGGGCGCCTGGGGTGAGTGGTCCCGATGCACTGCCAGGTAGCAAATGCACTCTCGGGGCAGTCCCCAGGCCATGGGCTTTGGGAGGCTGCCATGGAGGGGAGGACTGCACTGCACCCCCGCTGGAGGATGGGACTCTGAGTGCACTGTAGCTCAGCAGCTGTTGGGCAGCTGGCTTGCAGAATGCTGGGGCGTTAGGGTGGCCACTTTCCAGCTTTGCTAGGCCAGGAGTTCCATGCCTGTCCTGGCATTGCTCTGCCTGGCTCCCGGTTTGTTCCCTGCTAGCCCCCTGCATGCCAGCTCTGGTTTCCATTCTGTTGGAGAGGAACATTTCCCTCTCACTGTATTAGAAAGTGTGATCAAGTCTGTATTCCTCATCCCATTAGGAGCTGTGGTGGGCGTGGTTTCTATAGGAACCCTGAGGTGGTGGCTGGGCTGCCTCATCCATTGCTCTCAGTGTGCGTGTAAAGCGAGCTCATTATGGCTGGGGTGACACGGCACAGCTGCCCATGGAAAGGGCTCCACACCCCTTCTTAAAGGCATGGTGTCCACACTCCTCAGCGGGCCCTTCCAGCCCCAGCCCCCGCTAGGCCCGTGTCCTGTGTCTGGCCCAGGCTCCCTGACACAGATGTTTGTGTTTCAGCTCCCAGAAGGCAGGACTCTGATGACCAGTCCAGCGATATGTTCAACTATGAAGGTAAAACTCCAAAGAGGCCACGTGAGGTGGCTCATGCCTATAATCCCAGCATTTTGGGAGGCCGGGCTGGGCTGATCATGAGGTCAAGAGATTGAGACCATCCTGGCTAACACGGTGAAACCCGGTCTCTACTAAAAATACAAAAAATTAGCTGGGCGTGGTGGCACGAACCTGTAGTCCCACCTACTCAGGAAGCTGAGGCAGGAGAATTGTTAGTTAGGTCTTGAGAGACAGTTGCAGATTTCCACTGAGGAGGTTGTAGAGCAGGGCTCCCCCCTCCCTGGGTGGTGGCAGCCCCCTGAGATTGGGGTCAAAGTGATAGGCCCCACATGGATGCCTCACCAGCAGGAAGATGTGCTTTAGAGGTGCAGCCTGGAACATGGCTTTAGAGTCTACATTGTCCCTGCACCCCTCACCAGCGGCTCGGCTATGGGCACATGACTGTCGCCCTGCCTCAGAGTTTCCATGTTTCAAATGAAGGGTCCCTCACAGGTCTCATAGAGACTCAGCCACTGCATGTAAACGGCCTAGAACAGGGCCTGGCAGAGAGCAGTCTTCAAAGTAATGCAGTCTCAGCTCCGGAGCCGTCATGTAGACCTTGGAGCAGCGTGTCTGAATGGCTGGACTGGCCTTGGCGGTAATTTACGGGCTTCTCTACCAGACAGAAATTTCTCCATTGGCTGGAGCCAGGAGCCCCCGCAGTCACGTTCTAGTTTGCTTCCCCTCCTTGCATACCCTGCTAATTTGTATTCCTTGGGCTGTCTTGCTCCCAGAATCCTGCACCGCCAAGGCAGTCACTGGACCTTGCCGTGCGGCCTTCCCACGCTGGTACTTTGACGTGGAGAGGAACTCGTGCAACAACTTCATCTATGGAGGGTGCCGGGGCAATAAGAACAGCTACCTCTCTGAGGAGGCGTGCATGCTCCGCTGCTTCCGTGAGTCTGGGGTCCCTCAGCCTAGGAAGCTGCTGTTGGCGGAGGAGCCCCATCCTTGAGAACCCCCATCCATCTCCCCATCCCTCAAATCTGAAGGCCTTGGGAATGCTGTCTTTGGGCCCTCCACAGTGGCAACTAAGCCCAACAAGAGGTGGAAGAAAGTCGCTCAGAAAGAGCTCCCCGTGGAGGCCTCGGCTGAGGGACCCCCGGGGGCAGCTCTGTGGGGTGGGGGCTGTGAGCTCACCGCACACTGTGCGTTCTCTTCCAGGCAAGCAGGTGGATTCTTCCCTGCCGCTTGGCACAAAGGGTAAGTGGCCCCTTACCCTCCTCCTGCCATCAGCCTGCCTCCTCCCTTCCTTGACAAGCTCAGCCTTGCCCAGTTGTGGTTTACACTGTCCTTCACTGGGCACATCTTATTTGCAGGAAGTCATGTTTCTGCGTGAGAATGACGGGATGGTGGCTTGTCCCACTCACTGTTCAGTGTACACCAGTGTTGTACATGGTTGGGGCTGGTGTGAGTGAGTCAAGAGGCAGGCTCTGCTCAGGCCACCCCGGTTACTGCGGACGAGGTTTTCCTGTTGGGCATTTGGGGACTGCTGCACACGGGCCTGAGGCTGGCCTGAGGTGTGGAGGGAGCCTCCGCTGCTGTACTGTATGGGGTATAAGAGTTGGTCATGGGTGACAGGATGGAGGGCCAGAGGCCAGGGCGTTTCCCAACACAGTCTGGCCTGTGTTACTAAGAGAGTTGCAGGTGATAATGTTGGCGCAAAAGACCTGCCACACCGGTCTGGCCTGTTTCTCGACCTGCTTCCCTGTCTGTGAAGGAGCCAGGACCTGGCCTGCGAGTCTGCCCTGTCCTAGCAGTGAAGCCTGGTTTCCAGGCATGGGGCAGGGAAGCAAGCAGTCTGGGTCTGCAGGGTGACCCAGAAGGGCCAACTCTGCAGGTCCACAGCCACATGGGGGAGGCTGCCACAGGAGGTCATGCTCCTTAGCTGGAGCCCCTCCTGAAGAAAAGCATCTGTGCTGACAGGTGGGACCACAGTGGGGCAGAGACTATTAAATTTGCCAGGCAGTGGGAAGATGAGAGTCCCCTCCCGGCACAGCTCTGAATACGCCTGGCTTCTGCCCTGACTTCTTTCTGTCGGCAGCTCTCAGCATCCCAGCCGCCTGCAAGGCACATCTTTTTCTAGTGCGGGTCAGCGGGGGGGTGGGTGGGTGTGCACAAAGTCCCTGAGGGTTTGTGTGTGCACGCCGGAGGTAAATATTTTTTACACCCTGTGCCTCTCTTGGCCTGGGGCTCCTATGCAGCCCTGAGAGTTGGGTTTTTAGTTCAAAAAGAAGAAATACAAACGGCCACTCTGCTGGTGTACACATAGCATGGCGTCTCCTTTTTGGGGGAATCTCCTTGGTGACTTCTCTGGCAGGCTGCGTCCTCTTCAGCTGCAGCTCTGTACACCCTCTGTGTTGGGAAGGGACATTTGGTCCTCAGCCTGAGCCCACCTGGATTCCCCAGGCCCTTGGTGAGCCCTACCCTGGCTGCAGCTCCCCTTGCCTGGCGGGTCCTGAGGCCCTCTCTCGTCCTCAGTGGTGGTTCTGGCGGGGCTGTTCGTGATGGTGCTGATCCTCTTTCTGGGAGCCTCCATGGTCTACCTGATCCGGGTGGCGCGGAGGAACCAGGAGCGGGCCCTGCGTACCATCTGGAGCTCTGGAGACGACGAGGAGCACCTGGTGAAGAACACATACGTCCTGTGACTGCCCTGTCACCAAGAGGACCAGGGAAGGGAGGGGAGACTATGTGCGTGTGTTTTTAAAAGCGATTTTTAAGAGCGATTGACTTGGATTTGTGCGATCATTAGGGCTGAGGTCTGTTTCTCTGGGAGGCAGGAAGCTCTTCCTGGTCTGGCGGGGGTGGGTTTGCTTTGGAAGTCCTCTAGGGAGGCTCCTCCTCACGTGCGTGGCCTGTGGTCTGGCAGCAGCCGTGAGTTGTTTCCTCACTGGTAGATTTCTTTCCTCCAGGTAGAGTTTTCTTTGCTTATGTTGAATTCCATGGCCCTTTTTCTCGTCACAAAAGTGATGTTATAATCGTTTCTTTTGTTTGTCTGATTTGTGGGTTTTTTAAAAGTGTAAACAGAAGTTTTTTATTAGCATTCCTGAAAGTAAAATGTACAAGTTTAATAAAAGGGGCCTTCCCCTTTAAAATAAATTTCAGCATGTGCTTTCTTTATGGGACTCCTAATTTCAATCCTACCAAAATGATCACAGAACGCTATCCGAGGTGTCCCATTCTAGAAAATAGCCCCTTTCAGGACTCTTTGAATGCCATCCACAAGATGAAATAAATGTCTTATTACTGAATGCCCATGAACTTTTACCAAACCACACTTAGCCTCACCACCTGTGAACTCTGATTTTTTTTTTTTTTACTCTGTTTCACTTTTTAAAACTTCTGGCTACAACCCTCTGAACTGATCTTGATGCTCCACTGTAGACTGTAGCCCACATCTTAAAGCGCTGCCCTCAGGACCACAGGAGGGGCGTGTGCCATCCAGGGAAGACCAAGACCTTCTGGAGTTGGAGGGGTTTAACAGTCCTGGTGGCATCCGTGACTCTTCTCTCATGGTTCTGCGCTCTCTGCATCTTGAAGGGGTGGTGGGAGGCGCTCTAGGTCAGGCCTGGCATTGCCTGCACTGGCTTTTCTGTCAAGTCTTCCACACACCCCTGTGTGGGAACGGGGACAGAGCACTGCCTGGCTGAATTTGGCCTCCAGGCTCAATCTTGCTGCTACCTGTGGGTGCTCCTTTACTGACAGTAGACTCTAGAAGCCCCTTTCCTCCCCCCATTCCAACAAAATGGGTCTGGGGTGTAGGCATCTGGGTGCCCCATGAGGTCAGGCAAGCGTCTGGATTTCTACCTGCCTCAGAGACACAGGAGGTTGGGCCTGCACCCCAGGAGTGGCCAGGTACAGTGCGACAGGCCAGACAGTGCTTTCCATTGCTGGGAACCAGAGGACTTTGGTGTCCTTCCCTTTGCCCTTCCTAGAAATCCCTTAGGGCTTAAAAATCTCTTCCTGAAGCAAGTTGGGCAAATAGCTCATCTGCTCCTGCACCGCCTCCTTCAACCACAGCAGATGCTGTGGAGGGATCCTGACGTCCTCTCAGCCCAGCCCCACAGGCCTCAGCTGGCTCTCCAGTGGTCATTGCAGTTGGTTTGGGGTTGATGAACAAGTGGAATCTACTTGCCACGTCCCAGACACATCGGACCCCATGGGTCCGGGCAAGCCTGTGGTCCAGGGAAAATGGGCCTGGGACTTGGGCAGAGCCTCTCTAACCATAGCGCTCTGAGTGCGGCTCCTAACCCCGGCAGGAACCTTTCTCTACCAACTCCAATACAGGCTGTCTCCTATCTCATTCATATAAAAAAAAAAGTTGTGCCTTTGGACTTCTTAAAAACTTGAGAATTGGCCAGGCACGGTGGCTCATGCCTGCAATCCTAGCACTTTGGGAGGCTGAGGCAGGCAGATTGGTCTAGACTAGCCTGGCCAACATGGTGAAACCTCGTTACTAAAAATAGAAAAAATTAACCGGGGGTGGTGGTGGACGCCTGTAATCCCAGCTACTTGGGAGGCTGAGGCAGGAAAATCACTTGAACTGGCAGGGCGGAGTTTGCAGTGAGCCAAGAGACACTGTCCCAAAAAAACAAAAAACAGAACACTTGAGAATCACTTAATTCCACCGCAGTAGGAAGATGAAGGGAATTCTCTGAAGCCCAGTTGAGCTTCTGTAGCTTTCTAATACAATAAGCCTTTATATGTTTTTCATGCAGAAGCCGCTGCTCTGTGACCCGCTTCTCCTGCCTAAACCTGCCCCTTTCTTCTATGGCAAGGGAGGCCCCAGCCCCACCGCTCCTGGCAGCTCGACTCCATCCGGGCCTCTGGACTCCTCCCAAGGTCTCACAACAGGCTGCTGCTGCGGTGACCCTTGAAGCTCAGCTGTGTCACGTGATCAATTTACAGCCTGACAAAGGCGCTCTTTTTGTTGCAAAGGCTGCCCAACAATGGGCCAGTGGCCAAGGCATTCAGTGGCCACTTCACATCCCTGTCCCCCTCAAGCTGCCGGCACCCTGGCGAGGTGGAATGGGCTTTATTAACAATCAGCTCGGGCTGGGCATGGTGGCTCACGCCTGTAATCCCAGCACTTTGGGAGGCTGAGGACGGTGGATCACCTGAGGCAGGGATTTGAGACCACCCTGGCCAACATAGTAAAACCCTGTCTCGACTAAAAGAGACGAAAAATACAAAAAATTAGTCAGTCGTGGTGGCTGGCACCTGTAATCCCAGCTACTAGGGAGGCTGAGGCAGGAGAATCCCTTGAACCCAGGAGGTGGAGGTTGCACTCCAGCCTGGGCAACAGAGAGAGACTCTGTGTTTTTTTTAAAAAAAAAACAAAACACCTCATTGCTGGTCCCAGTGCAGTGGTATGACAACTAATTGATCACAACCAGTTAAGATTTCTTTGTTCCTTCTCTACTTCCACTGCTTCACTTGACCAGCCTGAAAAAAAATCAGCTCACCAAAAATATAAGTCAACTCGGAGATTCTCACTCTCCCTTCTGGTCCACACACTTTAGGAAGGCAGGCAGTGTGGCTGTCCCCAGAAAGGGATCCTCTAGGCCATCTACTGGGTAAAGATCAGGACAAAGGGCTTGGGGGTTATACAGACTCATAAACATTAGGGGCTGGGCACAGTGGCTCATGCCTGTAATCCCAGCACTTTGGGAGGTTGAGGCAGGTATATCATCACTTTGAGTCCAGAAGTTCAAGGCCAGCCCGGGCAACATAGCGAAACCCAGCTACTCAGGAGGCTGAAGTGGGAAGATTGCTTGAGCCCAGGAGATTGAGGCTGCAGTGAGACATGATTGCACCACTGCACTCCAGCCGGGGCAACAGAGCAAGACCCTGTGTCAAAATAAAAACTGGCTGGGCTCAGTGGTTCACGCCTGTAATCCGAGCACTTTGGGAGGCTGAGGCGAGCTGATCACTTGAGGTGAGGAGTTTGAGACCAGCCTGGCTAACATCGTGAAACCCTGTCTCTACTGAAAATACCAAAAAAAAAAAAAAAAAAAATAGCCCGGTGTGGTGGCACATGCCTGTAGTCCCAGCGACTTGGGAGGCTGAAGCAGAAGAATTGCTGGAACCTGGGAGGTGGAGGTTACAGTGAGTTGAGATTGCACCACTGCACTCCAGACTGGGTAACAGAGCAAGACTCTGTCTCAAAAAAGTAAAAAATAAAAATTAGGAATTCTGCCCTCGGCATTCCTGGATATGGTACCTCTTTCTTCCCCCAACATCAAGCCTACGCCTGCCTGATGGGTACAGCCTTCAGGGGGCACGCCCACCGGAAGGGACCTGGGGGCTTGGTGTTATTTCGTGTTCTGCCCTTGAGACTCTCCTGGACTTGTGGTCGTAGGTCCCCAAGACAGTGGCCACTTGGTCGAGTGTCCTGTTTACCAAGTCGCCCTACAGTGTCCCACATCAGCCAACATGAGGGAAATCATAAGTCTCTAAATCTGTAAAAATGCTCATGTTTCACTCACATCTGACTTCCAAAAACAAGTCTGGGTGTGAGTAGATGATGAATAAGAGGTGAGCTATACTTAACTGGGGTGGGATGCAGACTGATTTCGTGTTCTTGAAGGGAGAGCAACAACCCGGTATCTGGGGAGGGAACACCTTAGACCCCAGCAGGTGGGGGGTGAGGGGTGGGGAGGAGGCCATCATCCTCCCTCTGGCCTCCAGACCCAGCACTGCTGCTTGACCAGGCAGTCACCTGGTCCTCCCGAGTCCAGCAGCATCTACAGCTGCTATCCTGACCCACTACAAAAACATATCTGTAGGCCGGGAGTGGTGGCTCATGCCTGTAATCCCAGCACTTTGGGAGGCCAAGGTGGGTGGATCATGAGGTCAGGAGTTCGAGACCAGCCTGGCCAACATGTTGAAACTCTGTCTCTACTAAAAGTGCAAGAATGAGCTGGACGTGGTGGGACATGCCTGTAATCCCAGCTACTCAGGAGGCTGAGGCAGGAGAATCACTTGAACCTAGGAAGTGGAGGTTGCAGTGAGCCAGGATTGCTACACCGCATTCCAGGCTGGGCAACAGAGCAAGACTCCATCTCAAAAGAAAAAATAAATTTGCTGGGCATGGTGGCACATGCCTGTCGTCCCAGCTAGTTGGGAGGCCGAGGCACAACATTTGCTTGAACCTGGGAGGCGGAGTTTGCAGTGAGCCGAGACTGCACCACTGCGTGGGTGACAGAAGGAGACTGTCTCAAAAAACAAAAAAAAGAAACCAGAAACGACCCACACTTGTAGACATGGCCAGTCTAGAGCAATTCTGCATCTGATGCCATCAGTGGCAGCTCCTGAACCTGGGGCCTCCTCTCCCGACACACAAGACGTTTCTAAACATAGGGACAGGCCCAGCCTTTTTCCAGTCTGGCTGGTACAAAATCATAGGCTTCTGATGCCCAAGGAGCCCCGAGCTCTACCCCAAGTAGTAATTGAGGCTGCAGCTCAGTGGCATTGCCCATGGGGCTTCACCAAACCAATGCTGTGGTGTGGCAAGTGAAGTTTCACAATTCCCACCTGGGCATGGTGCTCATACCTATAATCCCAGCATTTAGGGTGGCTGAGAAGGAAAAATCGTTTGAGCCTGGGAGGTCAAGACATGCTCACAGGAGGCTGAGGCAGGAGAATCACTTGAACCTAGGAAGTGGAGGTTGCAGTGAGCCAGGATTGCTACACTGCACTCCAGGCTGGGCAACAGAGCAAGACCAGACCCCATCTCTTAAAAAAAAAAAAAAAAGGCTGGGTGTGGTGGCTCATGCCTGTAATCCTAGCACTTTGAGAGTGGCTCATGCCTGTAATCCTAGCACTTTGAGAGGCCGAGGTGTGTGGATCACCTGAGGTCAGAAGTTCAAGACCAGCCTGGCCAACATGGTGAAATCCCATCTCTACTAAAAATACAAAAATTAGCCAGGCTAATTTTGCTCATAGGAGTACAAACGCTTGTGAACTGTGCATGGGAGGGATCTAGGTTGTGTGCTCCTTATGATACTCTTTTTTTTAACTTTTTTTTTTTTTTTTTTTTTNTTTTTAGGTAGATTCTTACTCTGTCGCCTAGGCAGGCTGGAGTGTAGTGGCACAATCTTGGCGCACTGCAACC